TGAAACATTGAAATGATAAAAGAGGGTGTTAAAGAATGTATCACAAGCGCTTTCCGTAGAAAACTGTTGATACATTTCCAACCAGCTTTCTTGACTCAACTTTAGTCTGAAGTTTTGTATATTCTGTTCAGAAAAGTGTCGATTATATTTGAATACTTATTCGCTTCGTTGCACTGCGGATATTGAGGATTATACAGTAATGGTCAGACAAACAGTGATCCACAACAGATACATTAAAGTCCTTATCAAAATTCACTAAGAAATTATCCAAACAGCTGATGGAGTAAGTTGTAACTCTAGTGGGAACATTTATTATGTAAGTCAAACTGTAACATCCCATGACATCTTGCAGAAAATGTAAATTATTATTGTTTGATAAAAACTCTACATTAAAATCGCCATCAATCACAACTCGTCTATTATTGATGTCAATGGACTGCTCAATAGATTTAAAAATACCAGTTACCAGACAGTGGTCGATAAACACACACAATAATAATATTAAAACTATCTAAAATAATACTACAACATCCACAACATTGACATTGTGTGACGAATAGTAAAATCTGTCAATTACAACGAATATCTTACGATATTAGACACACTTAACCACTCAACTATCAAGCCTGTCGACGATGTCGATAAAAGAAGTGCAACTAATTATGCCTAATAAACTGCCACGAGTAACAGAGGCACATTCATTAACTTGAAGGCTTGAGAACGCAAACTGTAACCTTTCTACTCTACAGTGAAGAATTAAGCCATTGATCCCACATAAAAGTGACAACAATCTCGTTAAAATTAAGTGGAAGGTGTCAGTTGAAATCAAGATAAACGCGAAACTCTGAAATAAATATTACAGCTGTCTACCGCGTTAGGATTCCTACGGTTTCCTTAATAGTCTCGTTAATATTCTAGAAAGCAAACGTACCGAACATTAAAATCCATGCACATATATTACTCAAACCACCTTAAGTACAGTTGGGCTTGTTGAAAAGATAGTGATGTTAACGATATTTAGACATTACGTAGAATGTACGTGTACAGTTTTACAGGAAATGTTGCTGCTGTACCAGGCACGTTTGCAGCTTTTTAAGATCCTTATTCAAATGTAGGTTCATATCACACTTGCTTTTTGCTTAGGACTGGAGCAGGTTCGAAAAAGAGACGAGAAAATCATAAGAAAACTGGCTGAAAGAAGTACGAGCCCCTTCCCACTTCAGTTGGCCAACTATTGAAATCTTAGTTTTTTCTTATCAAACACAAATAATAAAAATGTAGCAGGGTGTTATAGGTTTAAAATATCAACAATGAATATTTTGATAATATAGTAGAAAACAACCACTTTATCACTCCCTAATCAAATTTGCAGCATAAAAGTAACACATGTTGCAATATCAACCTATTTTCATTTCAATGCAAAATAAGTTTATAACGCATAGGTGGCTGTGAAAAATAAAAGTCATGACAATTGTTTTTATTAATCACAGCTGTCAGAATACGTTTACAATAGCTTTGGGTAGTTAAGGTTTTCAAAATGGGTGGAGGAAAGGTTATTAGTGAGAAAATTCGGTTAATTAATTTAGTTTTTTTTATTCTGGAAAATCAAACTCAGAAATTGCAACTTTGTTAGACTTATCGCGGTACAGTGTGAGAAATATTGTTAGAAGATATAATGTAACTGGTTCAGTTAATATTAAGCCACGATATGTGAAAAAAAGTAATATAACAAATGCCGACCGAAGAGCATTAAGAAGAATAATCGTGAAAGACAGGCGTGCCAATTATTTACAATTAAGTGCTCTGTGGAGTGACGTTGTTGGAAGGAGAATTTCGAGGTCCACAACTCATAGAGAGGCCCACAAACTGTGATTTAGCACTTGCAAGGCAAGTTTTCTTATAAAAAAAGTGAATTAAAAACCATAAAGGTGCACAACTTGTTTATAGGCCAAAGAAAAGCCACTATTAACTCCACTGCAAAAGAAAAATCGGCTTAGATGGGCTAAAAAACATAAACAATCGACACCTCAACAATGGTGTGTAACACAATGGAGTGATGAGGACCGATTCGAAGTTTGTGTTGGTGACAGTCGCAGTAGAGTTATTCGCAAAAAAATGAAGCATTCCATGTTGATTGTCTGAAGAGAAAAGTGAAATTTCCAGCATCCATTATGGTCTGGAGCAGTATGTCACGAAAAGGAGTAGGAAAACTTCATTTTATTGATGTAAATGTGGATACAAACAAATATTTGGAATTTTTAGAAGAATCGCTTTTACCAGTGATGGAAGAATGTTTGACATCCGGCCAAGATTTTGTGTTTCAGCAAGATGGTGCAGCGTGTCAAACCTCAAAAAAGGCTATAAAATGGGTGGAAGAAAATAGTGTACCACTTTTGAAATGGGTTTCTAGCAGTCCAGATCTGTCACCTATTGAAACTTTGTGGCACGAGATAAAAAAGGTTCTACGACAATATCCTGCTCGTACAATCACCGAACTGAGACAAAAGCTTCAAGTAATATGGGATTGTTTTACACCAAATTTTTGCCAAAACCTGGTTAACACTATGCCCTACAGAATTTCAGCCGTAATAAAAAATAATGGTAATCTTTCAATGGTTGCTTTGTTAACTTCGCCCATTTATTCGAACATTGTTTATTTGTTCAGATGTTCTATTAGTTATAGGTCTAAGTGATTTCAAATATGTATTTTTTACGACTAGAATGTATCTAAAATGTTTTTGAGAAAATAAATTTTTTTAGAAGTAAATAGTTTCGTCATGTTTAGTTTATAAAGGCATATTTTGGTACAAATCTTGAAGTGGGCAAACTGAAGTGGGAAGGGGCTCGTAGTTGCATGTAAAGCTACAAGCAAAAACTGTAAAATGTGTTAGTGTTGACAACACTAGCACCGATCCTACAGGACGTGCGAACTCCAAGTACGAACCAAAAGAATTCGAATTTTGCACTGGTTTTCTCAAAAAACAGAAAACATGCACACCGGTTAATTATTAGTTTCATAAAAAAAACGCTATGTGTTATCGAAACTTTGATGCAGATATCAATACTAAACTTGCAGAGGTTTTTGCTTTCACGTTTCAAAGGATTCCCCACTATACATATTCCTCAATGAAACTATGGTCCAAAATTGTTTTCTTACAAAAACTGGGGGTGTTGAAGTTTTAGTAAAAAAATGGAAATTAATTAATGTTTTCAGAACCGCTTCAGATATTTCGCTGATATTTATTACGTAGTGAAAGTTAATACAGTAGCATATTTTCCAATGCAAAAATAATTTTTACCTTTAACTTCGATGTTTTTTAAGAAAGAAATGGTACGCCAATGGTTTTTGCCAAGTAAAAATTATTTATGAATTTCCCGTTCAATTTGAAACAAATGATCTCTCTTGAATTGTTTCCCTTCGATGCGCCGTTTTTGAGTATAAAAAATATAAAGCCGTTCTATTGTCTAACTTGCAAAATTATTATTAATTTAATTGGAAAAATTAAACACATTAGGGGTAATGACAACATAAACATAAACACTAAAACCAACGAAATGATTACAAAAATTGTTGAAAATAGCCCTCTTCACTTAGTATGCATGCTTCCTCCATCCTTCTCATCGAATTGCGAAATATCCCTGGAGTGTTTTCTATTCTATCATAACTATTCTTTCTCTTAATTCCTCTACAGTGTTAATGGGACTGGTGTACACTAGTGTCTTAAGATAACCCCATAAAAAGAAATCTAAACTGTTTAGGTTCCCCATACTTGGGGCCCACTGCGGCCAATCCAACGATTTGGATAAACAGTTTGTAAATAATTACGAACCACTACACTGAAATGCGCTGGTGCAGCATCATGCTTATACTACATATTGTTTCTTATTACTAACAGAACATCATCAAGCAGCAAAGGCAAATGTTGTTGAAGAAAATTGAGGTAAGTCTGACCGTCAAGTCAAGAAGAATGGGCCAATAAAGTGGTTGCCAATAGTTCCTGCCCATACGTTAACCGAAAATTGGTGTTGGAAATGGGTTTCGGCTACGGCATAGGGATTTTCTTCTGCCTACAAATGATTCTTGTGGAAAAAAGTTAGCTTCGTCCGTGAACAGAATCATTGATTTAAATTGCGGATTTTGTGTAATTTTTTGAAGATACCACTGACAATACGTCACATGCCTTGGAAAATCAATGGAAAGTAATGCCTGTACTCTCAAAATATGGTAAGGATATAACAAAAAATCCACTAAAATTCTCCAAACAATTTGATGGCAAATATTTAAGTATCTAGCGACCTTCCTCGTACTCGTTTCAGGATGTTCTTCGACTTCGAGCAGCACTGCTTCCTCAATTTGAGGTGTTCTCACACTTAGGGGTCTACCTTCAGATGTTCCTTTTCAGACAGAACCAGTTCCAACAAGACGACGATGAATATTAGAAAAGGTTCGACTGTCTGGCCAAGCACGATCGGGATATCTCTGGTGATAAATCCGTCTGGCTTGCTCACCATTACCGTCGGCAAGGCCATATACGTAATGTATTTCCGCCATTTCTGCATTTGAACAATCTACCATTATTAACAAGATTGTAAAAACTAAATAATGAAAAAGATGTCACAGCGAACAGATTTGAATAACAGAGACTTGTTAGATGTCAAAAGCCAGTGACATATTCAAGATCAACTAGATATTTATTGCTAAATTGCATTCTGCAATTATTGCATTAATTTTCTCGGACAATAGAACGGTTTTTATTTTTTTACTCAAAAATGGCGCTTCTTAGGAAAACAATTCAAGAGAGATCATTTGTTTCAAATTGAACGGGAAATTCAAAAGTAATTTTTACTTGGCAAAAACCATTGGCGTACCATTTTTTTCTTAAAAAATATCGAAGTCAATACCCGTACGGACGCCACTGTTAAGGCTAAAAATTATTTCTGCATTGAAAAATATGCAACTTTATTAACTTCCACTACGTGCTAAATATAAGTGAAATATCTGAAGCGGATCTGAAGATATTAATTAATTTCCATTTTTTTCCTAAAACCTCAACCCCATTTTTTGTCAGAAAACATTTTTCGACCACAGTTTATAAAGCAGACTAACATTAATTTTTCATGTAGATTCACACCCTTAAATATTCGCATATCATTAAGGAACACCCTGTATAACAAATAATGACGTCAGTTTGGTTGACACTGCACTTCGCACACAACGCTTCAGTGACCCTTCAACGTTTTGTTCGCATATTTTCAATAAGTTATATATTTGCATCTTCCCTGTTAGACCGGTTTTAAAAAATTATCTACTTCCAAGCGTAAGTTTATTACAAGTTCTGTTTCGAATTACTATCCTGTGATTTAAGTACTGTTTACTCATTAACCTAGCAGTAAATCGTACTAATAGCATTTTTATCGATTCTTTCTCCAGTATCGGGCAATTTAGTAGGTGATGTTAACAGCCTTGTCAAACACATGGGATAAATAAATAAAGCTGTAAGCGAGACTGAATACTGAAAGTTTAAGCATATAGTTCTGTATTAACTGCCTCTAGTTGTTGTGATTTAGTAAAACAACTGGAGGGGGCAGATATTAGGTTCGATATTAGTTCAACAAGTCCCACGGACGTCTCTTAGTGAAGAAGCAGACTAGCACTGTAAGCCCTCACTGCTCGAGTTAGTGGACTACACACATACAAAAAGGGATCTCTTGATCCAGAAGAACCAATTATTAACCAAAACTATGACATTGATTTGAGATCACAGGTAATTTCTTTGTTCCAAAGAAGTATCAAAGCCACGATCCTTAATTCCATAATTTCTTTTTTTGTATCGACCAAGTTCACAGTTACTGCCGCAGGTGTATAATATCAGGTTGTTTGCTATACTATAACTATCTAAAACTGTAATGACTCATCGATGTTCACGTGAACATCACGTAACTACCAGTAGTCGGCTGTTCATAGGCGGGGTATGAATGTTTAACATGGGTGAACTAGATTTGTCACATGCTTAATAAAGAATGGTTTGAAACATATTGTAAGTCAAAAATTTGGGAATTACCTTTATTCATCGTCGCTTCCACTTACATCTGACAGTAATAAACTGTCGCTATCGCTTTCCTCGTTGAAATTGACTATAACTGGCTCTATGATGGTGTCGATGTGGTGGTCAAGCTGCCACATTTTTGTTTCTTCCTTCACAACATGACGGATAGCATTCTGCCAAGCTTCGGGCGTTACTAGCTGTATGGAAGTCTCAAGTAAAACCTTAACGTCTGGTAATTTGAAGGTTGTGTTATGGCGCGCAATATACCTAACCCTTCACTTGAGCCCAGATGAGCTCTATTGGGTTCAGTTCACAGTGGTAGGGCGGTAACCGCAGCACAGTGACACCACATTGACGGGCCAACTCATCAGTCACGTAACTAATGTCCGCAGGTTTGTGCTGTTTAATTTTTTCATACAATTCCGCTTTCACACATGAATCGTCAAACGGGATTCCTTTTTCGCGCAACCATTGCTGCATGTCACTTTTTCGAGATCCCATAGTCGGTACACGTTCGGCTCGACGACTATGGTAGGAAGTATTATCCATGACGATCACAGAGTTGGGCTCAACTCGCTGAAGCACCCCTTGAAACCAGCTCTCGAAGCAGCTGGCATTCAATTCGTCATGGTAATCACCTCCTTTCTTAGAGCCGAAAATCAAGTCACACTCTTTTAAAAAGCCACTATCGCTACCAATATGAGTTACGATCAATCTTTGACCTTTCCCTGACGGTCCACGAAGACCTGTTGACAAACCTTCAATGCTTGCTTGTCGGTTACTCACTACGGTTTTGTCTATCCAGGTTTTTTTAATTGTGTGACCTGCATTTACCCATGTCTCGTCCAAATAATAGATTTTTCTGCTTTGTCGCCTATATTCAATCATTTCACGTAGGTATTTCCGACGCCAGGCGACTATATCAGGTCTCTCTATCAATACTGACTTCCGATTACGCGTTTCGTAACGAAAATTAATTACGTGCAGGGACTTGCTCATTACCTCGACGCTCATTTGGGGTATAATTTCATTTTCCTTGATCGCTGCGTGTACAGCCTTGAGGGTTGGTATCTCATTCCTAAAGAAGAATGAATGTACGGTTCGCCTTAACGCCAATTTGGTATCGTCATCCAATTTAACGGCCGTTCGTCCCTTCAAATTAAACTTTGGATCAGTAGTAGCTCCAGTTTTCTTCTTTTCATGCACCAACCTGCGAATGGTCTACTCTGGAACGCCTGTCATAGTTTCACAACGCGCGAGTGCATCTCCCTGCGACATAGTTCTGTTCAGATAATTGAACACGTTGAGCACGATTTCTTTCGCGTCCCTCTTCAGTGCTTTACGAAGCCGTCTACTTGTTCCCTGGCTTTCAGTAATTCCACTCGTGCCATTTGTACTCTCCATGGTTAAGTATAACCAAAACAGTAACCACAGAAACCACAACAATAACAATCACACAACAATTTTTATAAAAACACACAATATGCGATCGCTCAACGAAACACGCTCCAATGCGTTGCCGACGCCTATGAGTCGCGCGTCTTTGATTTCATTGGTTCTACCGGCGGAGAACAATCAGCCATTATTTCCATCTCTGTCTGTGCTGTTGACCACCGCAAAGCCACAGAAACGACATATGTCGTACGCTATACGGCTGTACTGGAAGGAAGCCGGGATCGAGCTCTGATCACGTGTTGATCACGCGTATGAGTCATTACAGTTTTAAATAGTTGTAGTATAGTAGTCGCTAGCTCATTCCGCACCTTCTCGCTATCAGCGCCACCTATGCAGGAATGGCACAACGACCGTCATTCCGGCAATAGTATATAAGATAATAACAATAAGTTTATTGCCCAACAGTGAATACCATTTACAGAGCTAAAAGCAGTAGTATAGCTTACAGAAATAGAAGAAACATAAAAACTTGACCAAAAACCCATCATAGATTGGATCGAGATTTATTCTTTAACTCACAGACACGGCAGTGAAAAATAGCACATATACTTGAAATTTTGTTGGCATTTTGGCACATAAAATTAATCGGTGCCTATAATGGTAAGTTAGTTTGAGCTCTTTTGCACATGAAAGTATTGTATTGTCTAGATGTTATTCTAAGAACCAGAATATCTACTTGAGCTAATAATACAGGACAATCTACTTTTCCCTTGAAAAGCTTGTGCAAGAAAAGTACAGATAACTGATATCTACGGCTCTCTAAAGACTGATAATCAAATCTATGTAGTAGCTCAGGATAACTACAGCCCCTTGGTGAACACACACCATCGATTTTAAAAGCTATGAATTTCAAAAATTTCTTTTGTGCCTTTTCAATAGCTATATGTACTGGCTATATCCATATGAGTGAGCCATATCTTACTAGACTGAAATACAGAGACGATAAGGCTGAGGTGAAATTCTTGCAACTCCTAACATTAAAACCGTATGTGTGACAAGCACTCAGCGCTGTTTGGCTTACATGAAAATTAAATGTCAACTGATTATCAAAATAGACACCTAAATCTCTAATGCAATCGGTTCTACCTAGTGTCGAATCCTCAATAGTATACCGATAAGATATAGGCTTGGACTTGCGACTGAATGTTACTACTTTGCATTTAGGTATGTTCAAGTGCAGATGATTTCACACATCATTTCTGTAGGAAAGTGATTTGTTCCTGTGAGATGATACAGTCCTCTTCACTGGATGCTGAGATATATATATATACAGTATGGGAAAAACCATTATTATACATTATGATGAGGAAGAGAGATGGAAATATACAAAAGTATGTAGGTGCGTGAAAGACACTCGATTGTAGGATCCTATGTGGCAGCGTCGTTGTGTGACGGACAACGGGGTAAAGTAGAAAAGTAATAAAAGAGAGAGATGGCAGAACGGGCGCTGGCGCCTACCGCTTAGACGGATGCGCTCAACAAATGCGATTTGTTTCTCCCATTCGCAGAGTTGCCGATACCAATACGTCATATTTCTAAGAAATCTAAGTCTACCCAAATTTCGGGAAAAATAGCTGCGGATTCCACATAAGAGTATTCCAAAAATGAAAAAAGTTCAAACTATTAAAATTGTATTAATGTTTCATGGTTCAAATGATATTTTTCATGTTTGTATATTGTTGTATAAATGATTTTGTAATCCCTATTCTTGTTGCCACTAGAGATACAACAGTATTGAGAGAAGTCATGGACCGCTAGATAGGGCTACAACTACCATATGACTATCAAATAGTAGTGATAAACAGGGTTTGTTTATAGCACAGTTGCCTGGTGTGGCGAATTTGCGCCATAGGGGCGATTTGACAACTTTGAAGGACAACTATAACGGTTACTATGGTGCCCGGTATTCGAGAATCTGGCAATACCTGATGATTCCTAACGTTTATTACGCCAGATTGTTTGCTGACTTGCGCAGTACAACATGACAATCAACGTGACTGAGCACCTGGTAATCCTGGTTTAAGGTGCTATATTTAAAGAACTTGTGGCAGTTAGGTATCTAGGTCACATTTTTTAATGTATTTCGAGAAATCCGTAATGTTGAGTAAATACTAGATCACGTTTCTTGCTTAGTTTGCTGAAAATTCTACAATAGACGTACCTTTTGAGAAACAGAGATTTGGTGACGACAAAATCGTAAAAATATAACGCATTTTCGTAAAATAGTTTCTTTGTTGAAAAGACTGTGGCTTGATGACCCATTGAACGAGTATAGTGTCCCGCTCCGCTTTGAATATTCGAAACACTATACTCCAGCAGCATTCAGCTTCAATGTTATCTTTATGAAGTTCTAACGTCTAGGCCATGCTGATTAAAAGCTTGAATGAATCAACACTTAACTCTAAATTGCGCCTATTATTCTCATTCGTGATACAGGTCTGCGGTCTGCTGCAAATTTCAGTATGCGTTGAGTCGATAGAAGAAGTACAGTAGATGCGCGCATTACGCACCAGTTCGATTGGACGTCCTGTGAACCGATTTCGGTGATTTCTAGATTTCACGAAATCACCTAAATCACTCTACTTATTTTTATGAATGGATAATTGGTTTTGTAGCAATAAAGGTTGCGTCTCATAACAAAAATAAGTAACAAGAAAAAATCATTGGGCGCTAGATCGGGTGATCTAGGAGGCCATTTTATTGTTCCGTTACCGCCAATAATCCGGTGGCCGAACACACTTTCAAGGTAAGTGTGTACGATCGCCGCATTATGCGCCGGGCATCCATCTTGTTGGAACCAAATATTAGCGAGATCAATGCCAAGCTGCCTAATTGCAGGAACAATCTGCGTCTGTAGTAACGCCAAATATTTTGCAGCCGTAAGAGTTCCATCAATAAAGAACGGTCCGATAATGTTATTACCTAGAATTCCTGCCCATTCAGTTTCTGTGGATACTGCGTGCGGACGGGAATACTGAGGTGTTTATTTTCCCGAGACCAATACCGAACGACTGAAGGATTGTGATGACCGTGGAGAGGGAATGTGGATTCATCAGTAAACAAAATGTTACCAATAAAACTTCCATCCCTGTTCGCCTTCTCCATGACCGTTTCACAAAACTCCATTCGACGGTATTTGTCTAAAGGAAATATTTCTTGAACCGTTCCAACCTTGAAGCTATGATAGCCGTTGCGATGCAAAACATTTCTTGTTGTTCTGGGTGTGAGATCGGCTATTGGTACCATTTCAGCAATTTTTCTGCTTGAGCATGGCTCAGATACTTCTGCAGCGGGACAAACAGCAGTTTCGATCTCCTCCCTTTTCTCGCTAATTTTTGGTTTCCAACCTTCAGGGTGCATGCAGCTATGGCACTTATGTAATCAGCCCACCCTCTGGAATTTTTCGTAGGTATTTATAACCGTTGCGCGAAACGGAATTGGCCGATCTGGGAAGCGTACCGCAAATAATTCAACAACCGCGCGTGCTGAATTATTCTGAATGTACCATTTTATCATTTGAAACTTTTCTTCTTGCGAGTACATTTTTAAGATATTTTGGATTAAATAAAGACGCACCTTTCCTACACAAAACCCAACCGCAGAGTGGGTCATGAATCCCTTATCGCACTTGACGACGGCACGCGCGTTAACGGTAGGAAATATGTACGAATAGCGATGAAAGTAGACGAGCCGATGCGCTGTTGCCAAGAAATGATTTCCCATGTATAACAATGGTTTTTCCTAAGGTGTATATATATATATATATATATATATATATATATATTATTTTAAATCATCCGCAAACAATAGCTTATTGCAATTAAACGAATCACACAAATCATTCATATAAAGTGGATCCCTGCGGGACACCGCTTGTCGCAGTGAATACTTCCGATCTCACATTATTTACACATACATATTGTTGTCTATTAGATAAATCTCATTTCAATAGCAAGAAATAATTGTTTTGTAAACCTAGTTAACAAAGTTTCTTGCGGAGAATCTCATGACTGATCTTGTCAAAAGCTTTGAGAAAGTCGGCACACATTACATCAACTTGACCCCTGCTGTCCACTGTTTCACATAGAAGCTGGCTAAAAACCGCTAAGTTGATAATAGTTAGCCGAAACTTTGTGTTGATAAATAGAAATAGGTAAATACGATCATATAAAATCATTTCAAGAAGAATTGTTCAAGACGGATATTTGAACAATTTTGCTATGGGACTTGTGGCTATTACAAGTGACCATGAAGTGAATGACAGAGGTTCGAGGTGACATTTTTTCGGAAAACCTTTATAAATTGTCTGAAGTATTAACTTTAAAATTTTTCGAGTTTGGTCTTAGTTGTCTCAGTTCTAATGCAAGGCCACCGGACCAGGGAGCCGTACAAGAGAGATGGATGTACTATCGTCGTTGCCATTTTTTTTAATTTTTCAAACACCTACGATTTTTGGTAGGAATGGATGTACCTAGTTACGAATTATGTATTAGTCATAAGATTAATCAAGTTTATTAGCATGTATTAGTAAAATAAACACATGTACGTCGCATACAACTGTGTATGATTTCATTTAAGTTGGCTCACATTGCTTACGACAACGACTGCTTATTCCAAAATTATCAAAGTAGCTCAATACACTGCAAAGATGGGCGACCACTGGTCTAAAATATCTCGCACAGTGTGTGTGTGTGTGTGTCATCTCTCTCTCGCCACAATTTTCCAGGTCCCTATATGCCTATCCATTAAATGCGACGTTGACCTGGCACCTAGGCTAGGAAGCGCTTCAGTCCCTGGGCTTCTAGCTAAGTCAGATAACTCTCAATAACTAAAGCAGAGTCACTTCTCTGGATCGAACTAAACTCTGGAAAACAGCGATGCATTTCTAAACCAGAGATGAGCTTGTTTTCGGAGATGCTACCGCCTTCAGGCCTGCTTGAATGTCGGAACCATTTGCGTTCAAATTGGATTGTTGATTATTTCGAAATTTTGGATATTGATGGTTGAGTAGTTAAAGATATACCACAGAAGATCCTTGATCCAACATCTATCTATCTAATTTTGTAGGTATTACTTACCACGTTTGCATAGGCATCCACATATCCTTATTTCGTGGTACATGTGATCCAGGCCTATTATAGTACTAATCCTTTTTGTAGTATAAGTTTCCATTCTGGTTTACTCCCAAACGAAATATATTGCCCAAGTAATTTATATTCTTAATTTGCTACGTTTTATTGGAATTCTGTTGGTGGAGTGACTGTTGTTGAATTACACAGAAAATACATGTTATAATGCCTCGCTTGAACAGGAATGCTCTTTAATTTACCTCTGTAATTGTTTGGGATTGGCAACAATGGATCATTACTTATTTGCTAAGTAGTAGAAATCTGAATAATGGCATTTATCTAAAGGCGAGTTTACACATCATGATGACTTAGTGATGACTTACAAATCAGTGAACTGTTACATGAATTATCTAAGAGGAACTGCAATGATCGATTATCTAAAAACTTGACGTTGGACAATAGACACTTTTTTAAGTAGGTCTTGAATAGTTAGCATCTGTTCTGTTGTACCAAAAAAATTAATACTATATTTTTTTGAAACCTGAAACCGGTAAAACTTAATTTTAAAAGTATATTAAGACAGGCGAAAAGGCTGTCCGTTTTATTAGGCCCATAGAATAATGTCCTCTGACGTCATTTCATTTGCAAACAGTAGCTAATACCAGCATAACCTCTCAAACTTTTAGACATAAATCATGACTATGAATGTGAAAACACATCCGCAAAGACTCCAGAAAACCTGTGGATTAGAGTACCTGGCTCAATCCGATAGTGAATCTTTATCGACGATAATTCAAATTTGTTTTTGCAAAGATGACTTTAAAGTAATAGACAAAATTATTCAGAGCTCCAGCTTAGTTGTGAGTGACTTCTGAAATCGAGGA